AGATGGGAGGGGGGAGGAGGGGGAGGGGAAATAAAAGGGATCAAGGTGTGATATGTAGCAGGGTGTGGAGGCACAGGACTGTGATTCTAGCATTTGGGAGGATGAGGCAGGAGGATCATTGCAGGTTTGAGGCCAGTTTGGCCTGCATAGTGAGCTGAAGACCCGCCTGAAATATATAGCAAGACCCTGTCACAAAAAAGATGGAATGTCTATATGTACCAATTCTCCCATGATGAATGTATTTAGTATATATTACAAAAAATACTACTAAAATTGATTAAAAAATAAAATAATAAAAAAGAAAATCAGTATTTTTTCAACAATGGCATGTCTTTTAAACGTGTTAGAACCAGAGTCAAAGAATCTAAGGAATGATTTAGTCCCAGGGTCCAGATTCCACTGAGATACTCTAGTAAATCTTAAAGGATTACTGGATTGATCTGGAATCCACTGGCATCTTGTATGTACTAGATAAAAACAGCAGCACTTCCAAGGCAGATTGAATAACAAGGTAGTTCAAGAAGTACTTTTGTACCCTCTATTTTACTTAGAAAATTTACAGTAAGGACAATTAAAAGTGAAAAAATGAAGGAATTTCAAAACTTTAGGGAAATGAAACCTAGTCTACCCTCATGAAACATCTAGGAAAAATCCAATATAAACAATGTTATCATTGTGTATAAAAAATGTACTGACCAAGATGAAATTACTTGTTCAGCTAATTAGGCAGACAAAACCAAAACGAGAATTTCTTTGAAAACACTGTATTCTCTTTATTGAATCCACATGGAAGTTAACTTATATACTGACTACACGAGTTGAGTCTCCAAAAAACAACAGGGAAAATATCTTTATCTAAGGTATAATAGTAATAACATTGAACTAAAAAATTAAAGATTACTCAAGATTCTAATCAAAAGCAGTGTTTACCCACAGAAATCATCAACAATATTAAGTGGGCTTTGGATTATCTTTACATTGTATAAGTTTGAGTGGTAATAAAGACTTACCTGGATAAGAAGATGCTTTTTGGAAAAGTTTGAATAGGAAAAGGAGAGGCCATGAAAATTTTGGAATTCAGTCTACTAATAAGAATAACTACCACTAATATTAATTTCAAAAATATTTTCTTCCCACAATGTGTATCTCTCAATATGATCATATGCAGTTAGGAAAATAGAAATTTAGCTCAGCTATTATGGGAAACAGACCTCAGTGACTTAAAAATTTTAAGAAGTTTATTTTGATATCATGCTTTTATTTTTTAAACATCAGTTTTATTGATGACTTAAGTGGAACACGAGAGATTTGAATGCTTAACTAAGAACAAAGTATTTTCTTGACAAGTGAATACATGAAAATCAACAAAAATCACGTATCATATGATAAAGCCAAAAAACCATTAGATATCTTACAATAAAAAAAAGTGAATTCCCTGAACCTATTCTTTTTAAAATAACCCAATTGTGGGCCAGGGGTATAGCCCAGTGGTACAGTGTTTGTCCATCATTTGTGAGGACCTGGGTATGATCCTCAGTACCAAAAACCAAACCAAACCAGACCAAAATCAAAAACAAGAACAAAAACCCTAGTTCAAATTCTAAATTCACCCTCTTCACTCCTCTGAATTTCTATAACACATCTTTTGTAGTACATAACACATACCCTTGTATTGTTTATGTCATTTTTATACAAATAGGAATTAATTATAAGTCAAACTAGATGGTAAGTTTTATTGAAGGTAGAGACTTTACAGTATCGAGCACTTTACATTGAATCTAACATCCACACAGTAAAGACTGGTTGGCATGTACTTTTTGGCAAACATCTCTCCACAATTAAGTTGGAGTGAGAGGGAATATGTGAATTGGTGGTAAGATGTGAAATATAGGAGGGTATGATATACATTACACATATAGAGTAAACATCCAATAGATTGCTGCCTGGACAAAGGGACTAGCAGTAACTTTTATTTAATTTTGAAACCAAAACTACAGTATAATTTGCAATAGCACAGTATTTAAATGGAAAAAATGCATGCACACTTTATTTCAACCAAAGATTGAGTAGTAACTGTAAATACTACTCTGTTTAACACCATCAGAATATATAGGTAATGAATAATCCCAAAACAGTATGCTAAAGACACAGTCATTTAATCAAAGGAAATCTTCGTATTTTGTTGCTGCTCCCTGCGATGACAGTCTTCAAAAACCTTTACCTCTTCTACCTTCTTTTGCATCATGCCTACAGGGGGAAAAGTCATACAATCATTAATCTGAGGTAAAAATATTCCAGGAACAGAATAGCACATACTCTCCCCCACTATGATTTATAAACTTTAAATGTCAATTTAATAGCTTTAAGTTTTAGACAATTCAAAAGAAAAAAAACCATTCATCTAGATGTTTAGAAACTATGAAAACAGTGGACAAGTCTGTTCTTTTTCTGCTCTCCCTAGCTTTAATGCAAATAACAGTCTATTTGTCACTCATATTTTGTTGGAGAATAGTGTTAGCTGGCTTTTTTATTCATTACAGCTCAAAAGTACAATATGATGTAGTCATTAAATTCAGGGCATAGATTTTGGTAAGTCTTAGGTACCTATAAGCAAGTGAGTACACTGAGTATATTTACATTTCTGATCCTTTCTAATGATTTATTTAACTTGGTGATCCTCAAGTTTGCTCAGGCACAATGCATCACAAAATGGCATTAATTTTACTATATAACACAGCACTTTTCTGTCAGTAAAAATAAACTGTTGAAGTAAGCATGACAATCTGAGTTTTTCAACTAACATACATAAATACAATTCATCATTTTTAGTATTTATTAATACTCAAGAGGATAAGCAATAACAGCTGCCCAAGAAGAAAGAAAAATTTTCCAAATCAAAACCTAAAAAAAATTTAAAATATACTTTAAATTTTTTCATCCAATAAGGACAGCTCTGATATTTATTCAGTGTTTAAAGTGTAATACCTCATCCTATTTTAGAAGATAGATATTCTGCAAGATTACACTTTAAAGACAAGTGATTTAAATGAAGGATGTCTACCAGAAGGCTAGAAAAACAGTGTATGCTGAGCCTGGCAAAATACATATCCTTTCTGCTGTAATAACTAATTACAGGGTACAGATTTTTTCCCTAAATAACATTTTTAATGTGACGGAAGCACCAATAAACAGTACAACAAACCATTAACTTGAGATCACGTGTCAACATAAGTACAATCTACTAATCTGCTGATTGATACACATTAAATGCAAAGGAGTATGTTTATAACAATTTTAAAAAAACAATAAAATGTCAAGAAACACAAGTTAGTTTAATTAGGAGAACTTCACTATAAATATTTTGGCATGCCTTCAAATTAAATTCCCAGGAATATTTCTATATTAACATACTTTAAACTTTTAGGACTTTCATTGTTTAAGGGTAAAAACTGTACCTACACATGTCCTGCTCAGAATTCTGGTTTCATGATAAGCATCAATCATTAAATTATATATTACCCTAGAAGTAAAATGCTAATAGTAGCCAAAACTTGTTAGGGGGGAAACATGCCATATACATTTTGAGATTATTAAAAAATAATTAAACTGAACAATATGAAAATAAAACAATTACATTCACAATATTTAAAATGTTGTATGTCCATACAATGCAATGTTACACAATATAAAGAAATGAAGTACTGATATATGTTACAACATGAAGGAACCTTGAAAACATTAAAAGAAGCCAGACACAAAAGGTTACATGGAATATGGTTCCATTTCTATAAAATCTCCAGAAAAAAAAATCTATACAGAGAGTAGATTAGTTGTTGCCTAGAATTTGAGATAGGAATACAGAATGACTGAAATGGCAAGAAAAAAATGCTTAATGAACTGCATGTTATTTACACAACTCTATAGTCTTAGCTAAATGGATAGATAAATGGTTATGATGATATATTTGTGTGCTTAAAATATTTTTAAAATATGATTTATTTCCTTGGGAAAGTTTTTGTTAGAATTGCTTCCAGCCAGTCTCATTATGATTTGGGGACAGATGTTTTATTCATCTTAGCCTACTTACAAATATTTTTGGTAACAATTTGAAGACTTTTATGAAAGGTTATAAAATAAGAAATTTTGTCATTAAAACCAAACACAGCTTTCTACTGTAATTAATATATTTGTATAACATTACATGCACTGTCAAAGAAAACACTACTCTCATATAGTTATAGTACATCTCTTCTAGAAAAATAATTGGAGCATTAGGAGAAAAAATATCCTAGCAGAAAAATGTTCAAAAGACAAGCAACATATAAAATGATACAAAACTATTTATAAACATTTAAAAACATTGACTATTCTGAGTATCCAGAGGGATGCAAATTAAACCAGAGAAAAATTATTTTGACCAATAAATTTGGCAAGGAATAATTATGATGGTGGTCATAGTGATGACAGAAGTAGTAATACTAGAAGGAGCACAGAAAAATTGGTACTTCAGTGAGTTACCAGTGAAAATACAAATTAGTACAATTTACCAAAAAGAAAATATAAATCAAAAGGACAAATCCTTTATTCTAGATTCAGTTTTTTAACTAAGAAGTGTACATATGTCCAGTAATCATGGTTGTATATTAAAATTTACCTATGGCTAAGTTTACAGCAGCACAATTTAAAATAAGAAAAAAGTTGGAAACATTAATCAACACTTAACAATAGGATATTAATTTAAAAAACTATAGCATAGCCATTCAACGGAATACATAGAAGCCATTAAAATGTAACGTACTTAATAACATGGAATGATATTCACGTAGACATTTGGCAGCTTTATATCTCTTTCTCTATCAAAAGATGAGTGCACCGTGTTGTGTACATATAAGGAGATAAATAAATTTTAAAAATATAGTGGACTTTCAACATGGCTGACTAGAGGAGAAGTTGCCTGAGAGGTGCTCTGAGAGGACACACTGCAACTACAACTTTTTTTTTTTTTTGTACAGGGGATCGAACATGGGTCCTTGCGCTTGCACAGCAGGCAGCGAAACCATTGAGCTAAATCCCAGCTGAGAGGACACACTGAAACCACAGGTACCCAGTAGTAGAGGAGGGTCTTACACCCTGAATTAGAATATTAGTTGGGAAGACAACATATGTAGATGAAAACTAAGAACTGGATCATTGGAGGGGGAAACAGCCAGTATGGCTGGTCGGCCACTCCAGCCTCCTGCCCCTTCAGGAAGCAGCCATTAGGAGAGCACTTCAAATAGCCAGAGGGAGGAAAAGAAAGAACAGGTGTTGTAGAGACGGTAGTCCGAGGTCAGACTCTGTATATCAGCCTTTTGCCACATCAGATCTAATATAATCAGTGGCGAATGCTGAAGCTTGGCTGCATCCTCACCCAGGAAAAGGAGACCCCTCCAATGCCCAACCTGGACAGAGGATAAATGGTGAACAAGGGTGGGATTTCCCCGGGTTCGCATTCCCTCCTGAGAGTAAATCGCTGATTCCTGGGATTCTATGCCAGCTACTGCCATCTCCTGTAGAATCCCCAGCTGGAGCGTGTGAATACATTTGTGGATCCCCAGGGCCCCCACTGAGCATGCCCCAACTCCATGCTCCTCACCTTGTTAGTGAACCTGTCCACAGATTCTGCCATCATTTGTTCGTAGGCCAAGATGGGACAGTGTGAGATTTGTTCTATAAGCCAGCAGAGTGAATTTCTGAGCTTGAGTTTGCCTGAGCTTGGTAGTGGAAAGGACAGAGGTGATACTGGTGTGGCTGGACATAATCACTCTCTGCAATCCAGGCAAGAAGGGAATGGTGTGAACACTCAGGATTATGGCAAAATGGTCACATATGACTTGAACATACATTTTATTTATTTATTTATTTATTTATTTATTTATTTATTTATTTGAGACAAGGTCTTGCTATGCAGTTCAGGCTGGCCTTGAACTCACTATGTAGCCCAGGCTGGCCCTGAACTCATGGTGATCCTTCTGCCTCAGCCTCTTGAGTGCTATACATTTCTGTCAGAGTATCTGAACTGAGTTCCTGCTGGATATTTTCTGTTTTGTTTTGTTTTTTCTTTTGATTTGCTTTGATTATGTTGTAGTCTATGTTCTCTTCCTCTTCTCATCTCTCTATGTAGTGTTTTCAACTCAATCTCTTGTAGTGTACTATTTTCTTATTTCTTACTTATTTCTCTGACTTTTAAAATTCCTCAAGTCTTAGTTCGCCATATTCTGCTCTCAGTCACTCCTACCTTTTCTCATATTAACTCTGTCCTCTCCATTCTATTCCTTTCACTCTTCCTTATCTTACCTAGCCCCCTGTCTGCCCTTCCTCTCTTCCACATTACAGGTGCACAAATTTGTCAACAGTTTCTGACAGCCTCTTAGTTTTCCTCAATTGCAAAGTACGTATCTCTCCCCCTGTATCTCATCCTGGCCCCCACAAATGTCTTCTTAAAACCCTCAACACTAACCCTTCAATCAAACTAAAAGTCCTCTAACAGAATCTGACTCTATACTAATCTGTTTCACCTATCACTATTCCCCCATCTACTTGGCCCTCTATACACTTATGCTCCTTTTTCACACATCCTTCATTCTCTCCCTTCCACTTCTCCTACCACATCATAGAACAACTGCTAATAACAATTGAATGTAGGCTGCAAAGAGTACTGATAAAAGGTGAAAGTGTAAATCCAAGGTGTATCACATATAAGCAAAATGTATGATTGGATCTGTTGATGTTGTTATAACCAGAAGTACAGAGTCCAAATCACTTAAATTAAAAAGCTGGAGAGCTAAATACTATCTCAGTACAACTAAAGCTGAAAGCACATCACAGGAAAGCAGTGTCTTACTAAAAATATCTGCACATCAATTACAAGGGTCAGAGATTTAGCTCAGTGGCACTGAACCTGCCTCACGAGTGCAAGGTCCTGAGTTTGATCCCCAGTACCAAAAAAAAAGTTACAAGCCCTCTTCATCATACAGGACTTCAATCTTCAGCACCAAAAATGGGAAAAAGGAAGAAAAAAACTTTAAAAAACCCAGAAAAACAAAAACCAGATACACCTAGGAATTAACATAACCAAGGAAGTGAAAGAGCTCTACAAAGAATACTATAATACTCTGAAAAAGGAGATGGAAGAGAACATCAGAAAATGGAAAGATGTCCTCTGCTCCTGGATAGACAGAACAAATATTGTCAAAATGGTCATACTA